TGCTGAATGTGTGTAATTCTTGCTGAATTTGCCTGGTTTTGGGGGTGGTTTTTTTGATACTTTATTCATTCCCCTGGTTCATTTGTCACATTCTTGCCCTTCCAAAGCAACTCCCTGGATCTAATGCCTCGTGCTTTGGTGCCAAAGACCTTGACTGCCTTGAATTGCCCCCAGAGATCCCAGCCTTGGCATGGCTTCTGCATCAGCACTCCTCCTCCTGGCTGCCTAACTCCTCAGGCTTCCCAAGGTCATATTTGGAGGGGTAAAAATTCCAAACCAACCCAAAAACCAGCCCTGGGACAGACCCAAAGGGGGAGACATCGTGGTGGGTTTTTCCCCCCCTCCCCGCTTCGTGTTGCTTTGTACTCGGTGTGAAGATGAGGGATTAATCCTTGTGCTGCCTTTTTCTCCTGCAGTTCATAAAAGATTCATGGTGAGCCAGCAGACTAAAAAAAGCCCATCTTGTCTTGTCTCTTCTGGTTTAGTTACCTAAATGACTTGGATAGAATATCCCAGCCAACCTACATTCCCACTCAGCAGGACGTCCTGCGGACCCGGGTGAAAACGACGGGCATTGTGGAAACTCACTTCACCTTCAAGGACCTGTACTTCAAGTAAGTGAAGGGCAGCTCCTTCTCCCTGGGGACTGCAGTGGTTCCTCCACCTGGTAGTGGTGGTTGTGGTGGTGGCAGGTCCCACACCTGGGCTGCCAAACCTCTTTGTAACTGTCCTGGCCTCCCTTAACGCTCCCTCTCTCCTGGCAGTGCTGACTGGAGAGACTGGTTTGACTTTTATTTGCCTTCTTCTGTTCTTTTCAGCTGCTTTTATATTGGATTTCCAGACACAGGTACTGACTGCTTGTTTGAGAGGATGGAGGAAAAAAAAAAAAGCTAATACTAAAAGGACACTGACTCCTGGAGTTTGAGTTTGGATTTAACCCCTTCCTTTGGAGAGGGAGATGTGAGCTCCCTCCCCCCAGGGCTGCATGGTGTTCCTGCTGGAGCTGGCTGTGCTGGCTGCCCTGCTGCTGGGACCTGGCACTGCAGAGGGTGGGACCTGCTTGTCCTTGTCCCCTGGATGGGACCTGCTTGTCCCTGTCCCCTCTGCCCTCTAAATTCAGTCCCCAGGTTCAGGTTTCCATCCTGCTCTTGGCAGTGTCCCTTTACGTATCACTAATCGAGCCTCCTCTAACCTCCCCCTGCAGTTTAGTTCTCCTCCCTCCTGCTCCTTAGAAAAATCCTCCCTTCAGCTCCCAAACGTGCTCCTGACAAGCAGCCTTGGAGCCCCACAGGGTGGGAATTCCTGTCCCTTCATGTGGATGTAGGAAACCACAGTGCTTGTCCTTTGGTGTGTGACAATGTTTTCATTTCGTTGTCACTCAGAGCCTTTAAATCAGCATTTGCTTCTTTGTAGCTTGTGTTTGCAAGAGCTGTAGCAAATAGCCAAGCTGATAAAATGGGATGTGTTTGCACGTGGGGTGTTGGGGTTTTTTTGGGGGGGGGGAGGAGCTGGGGGGAGAACAGCAGCATTTTGGCTTCTGAACTGTCTTAACTTCTGAAAAATGGTAACAAACCCAGTGTCTGGACACTTTGCCGAGGGAAAATCTGCCTGTTGGGATGGGGGAGGATCAGCACTTCCAGCTGCAACCTGTGGTGGTCTCTGAAAAAATCTGGTGGCAGAGGGAGTTGGGGGTAGGAGACACCTCCTGTGGGATCACTGGATCCTGCTTGGGAAGGGAAATGGTTGATGGAAAAGGAAGGGAGTTGCTCTTCCCCCTGGAGTTGTTGATCAGGAGATACGAGGTGGGATTTGCTCCCCAAAGGAAAGTGTTGATCCCTCCTGAGCTCTGGAGCTGCCACCTTCCCTGGTGTTAAATCTCAGCCATGAATAATGGGCTGAGGGAGCTTTGGTGGAACTGGGTCTCCCAACTGGGATGAACTGGGTGAAGCTGAGTGCTCAGGGATGCAGCTCCTTTCCAGAGCTCCAAGAGCAGAGAGTGATGGCAGATGAGACAAGCTGGGTAAATACCCTGTGTCCTCACAGGGGTTTTCATCCTTCCTCCTGTGGTCCCTGGGGACAATTTACCTTAAAGAGAAGATGGGAATGAGCTGGACAGCTCTTCTGGTTGCTCCTTTTTCAGGCAGTTTCTCTCTTGGCTGCCTGTTTGCTCTGATCAGAAATCAACATTGATGATTTCCAGAGCTCTTCAGGTGCCTCCTGGTCCCTGCCTTGATTTCATGGAGCCACATCCCATCAGAACATCCCGGGTGATCCTGCTTCTCCTCAAAATGTTTTGGTGAGCAGGGTGTTGTACCTGCCCAAGACACATCTCATTTTAGAGACATAAATTCTGTGGCCTTTCAACTTCAGTAGCTGACAGGTTATTTTTTGATTTACTACATGAAACTGTTTCTTAACCCCATTCATTTTTGGCTGGGTCCCAGCAGTGCAGTTCAGGGAGTAGGTCCCTCTGCCAGACACAGTGTCAATCAAAATCAGAGAGTCATGGGATGGTTTGGGTGGGAAGGGACCTTCAAGGTGATCTAGATCCAACCCCCTGCATGGGCAGGGACACCTCCCAGCAGCCCAGGCTGCTCCAAGCCCCATCCAACCTGCCCTTCAACACCCCCAGGGATGGGGCAGCCACAGCTTCCCTGGGCAACCTGGGCCAGGCTCTCACCACAGTGAAGAATTTCTTCTTAATGTCTAAATTAACTGGGAGAGCTGCCTGTGAGTAGGTGTTTGGAGTCCAGTCAAGCAAAAGGATTGTTGCTATGGCAGGAGGAGACAGTGACCACCGTGCCCTGGTGAATCAGCAGCTTCTTGTATTTACCAGTGAAAAGCTGAGATGGCTCTGAAGAAATTAATTCTGGATTTCAAATCCACCCTCCCTGAGAAAGGGAGGCCTCAGAGCTGTTGGGCTTGTACCTCTTTCCCCTTAAATCCTGCTTGAAAATCTTTAGCTGAGCTCCTCCATTACCTGGGAAGAAGGTGGTGGCTGGGGCAGGAGGTATCTCCACAGCTTCTGAGGAGGTTCTTGTGCCTCTCCCAGGATGTTTGATGTGGGCGGCCAGCGGTCGGAGAGGAAGAAGTGGATCCACTGCTTCGAGGGGGTGACAGCCATCATCTTCTGTGTGGCCCTCAGTGATTATGACCTGGTCTTGGCTGAGGACGAGGAGATGGTAGGTCCTGGAGGAGCTCCCCATGCTGGGCACTGCAGGAGGGAGGTGGAATCGTGGGGTGGGCACCTCTCTGGCTTGTTCTTCATGTCCTGGTTGTTCCAGACTCTGGAGATGAGCCTTTCCTTGCAGCAACCTGCAGGATCTTGCTCCAGTAGCTGATAAACATGAGGTGGAAAAGAGGTTTGTCTCCAGACCCTGGTTGGAGGGAGGTGCCCTTTTCCTCAAGGTGTGAGCTTGATGTTGGTGATGAATCAAAATCACAACAATCCCTCCGTGGAGGAACAAACATCCTGGAGGAGTCAGAGGCTTTGGAGGTGACCTCACCTCTGCTCAGGGTTGTGTTCCATGTTCTTCTTGATGCAGTGGCAGGGAGGGCACGTTGGTGACACCCAACTCCCCTGGCCTTGACATGTCTGTCCCTCCACCCTGTCCTCCCCTGATCATGACCCATCTTCCTTCTCCCTTGGTTTTCCAGAACCGGATGCACGAGAGCATGAAACTGTTTGACAGACAGCCATCATCTTCTGTGTGGCCCTCAGTGATTATGACCTGGTCTTGGCTGAGGACGAGGAGATGGTAGGTCCTGGAGGAGCTCCCCATGCTGGGCACTGCAGGAGGGAGGTGGAATCGTGGGGTGGGCACCTCTCTGGCTTGTTCTTCATGTCCTGGTTGTTCCAGACTCTGGAGATGAGCCTTTCCTTGCAGCAACCTGCAGGATCTTGCTCCAGTAGCTGATAAACATGAGGTGGAAAAGAGGTTTGTCTCCAGACCCTGGTTGGAGGGAGGTGCCCTTTTCCTCAAGGTGTGAGCTTGATGTTGGTGATGAATCAAAATCACAACAATCCCTCCGTGGAGGAACAAACATCCTGGAGGAGTCAGAGGCTTTGGAGGTGACCTCACCTCTGCTTAGGGTTGTGTTCCATGTTCTTCTTGATGCAGTGGCAGGGAGGGCACGTTGGTGACACCCAACTCCCCTGGCCTTGACATGTCTGTCCCTCCACCCTGTCCTCCCCTGATCATGACCCATCTTCCTTCTCCCTTGGTTTTCCAGAACCGGATGCATGAGAGCATGAAACTGTTTGACAGCATCTGTAACAACAAGTGGTTCACAGACACCTCCATCATTCTCTTCTTGAACAAGAAAGACCTGTTTGAGGAGAAGATTAAGAAAAGCCCTCTAACCATCTGCTACCCAGAGTACACAGGTAAGGGTGGGCTTCTCCACCTGCACTTTATTCCTCACCAAAGCCAGGGATGAGTCCCTTAAAGCCCAAACCATCCAGGATAACTTCTAAAGCTCCTTTTTTTCCCCCCATTTCCTTAGCTCTGTCCCTTGGAAAGTAGCTTTGGGTTCTCCAGTCAGCTCATTTTCTCAGCAGAGATCTGGAGACCTCCATGTGCTTTGACACCATTCCAAGAGATGTGGAGAGGGATGGAATAATGACACCATCCAACGTGGAGACCTCCCTGGGCTTTAAGCACTGGCCCAGGTTGCCCAGGGAAGCTGTGGCTGCCCCATCCCTGGCAGTGTTGAAGGGCAGGTTGGATGGGGCTTGGAGCAGCCTGGGCTGCTGGGAGGTGTCCCTGCCCATAGCAGTTGGATCTAGATGATCTTGAAGGTCCCTTCCCACCAAAACCAGTCTGGGATTCTGTGATTTATGGGCTGGAGCAGCAGAGCACTGCACTCCAGCACATCAAGGTCACTCCACATTTTCCATGTTATTAGGTCAATATTTTCATTTAACTTCAGTTTTAGAGGCTGGGAAACTTCTCCATCTCAGAGGAGGATGTGAGGAGGGAATTCTTTGGTGTGAGGGTGGTGAGAGCCTGGCCCAGGTTGCCCAGGGAAGCTGTGGCTGCCCCATCCCTGGCAGTGTTGAAGGGCAGGTTGGATGGGGCTTGGAGCAGCCTGGGCTGGTGGGAGGTGTCCCTGCCCATGCAGGGGGTTGGATCTAGATGATCTTGAAGGTCCCTTCCAAGTTAAACCAGGGAATTCTCAGGGCTGGGACCACAGGGATCTTTGGGATGTGACTTAACCAAGGTCACTGCCCAGAAGCTGGGAATAGACTTCAGATTTCCAAGAAAGAGTTAATGGTGGATTTGTCTTTCTAGCTGGATAAGCCAGATGGTCACAAGCAGCTTAAGGTGGACTTAAAAGATCTCTCTGCTCTGAACTGTTGGCCAAAGGAGGGGGGGATCTTCTCTTTTTCAGGCTCCAACACGTACGAGGAGGCAGCTGCCTACATCCAGTGTCAGTTTGAGGACCTCAACAGGAGGAAAGACACCAAGGAGATCTACACCCACTTCACCTGCGCCACCGACACCAAGAACGTGCAGTTTGTCTTTGATGCTGTCACAGATGTCATCATTAAAAACAACCTGAAGGAATGTGGGCTCTACTGAGGAGGAAGGAGCCCCGGGGAGAAGGTAAAACTGCTCAGGGGGGGTTAAAAAATCCCTCAGGTTCTGCTCTTTTCCTCCTTCCTCACCCTGTTTCGTTTTGGTTTATTTTCCAGTTGGTTTGATTTCTGACCTGCCTGTTTCCAGATCCCAGGCTCTTTGAGGCAACAAGTTGCAAGCATGAAACAGGAGAAGGGAAACAAAAAGCAAACAGCATGTTGCAACCTTTAGCACAATCTCCTCTAGTAGGGACCTTTCTTTTTAGTTTTGTTTTGCCTTGAGGACATGGGATGGTGGAACAACTGGTGGGTGTGACCAGATCATCCTGACATCCTTCGGGTGGTGTCATCTCCAACCTGTCCAGCTCTCAAGGTGCTGGATTCCAGGCCTTCAAATAGATGTAGCTTTTTTTTTTTTTCCTCTCTCTTTTTCCTTTGGTTTTTAACAACCCACCACTGGTTTGTTTTTTAAGGTTTGTTTGGGGTTTTTTGTTGCTTTTCCATCCAGAAAACTGTAACTTTGACGACGTTTCATTTCTTTCTTGGCGAACGGATCTCGGTTCAGAAATAAACCAGACAAAACCAACAAAAAAGAATCACTTAACTATGCACACGTGAGCAGATCATGCAGAAAAATACTCCTCTTAGCAGGAACTCTTGGTTTTTTTAACCCTTGGTGTGGTCAGGATTTCCTATTCCTGCTTCAAAGGATCTTGAGGGGCAATTTGGGCTTTTCCTGCTGTCTAACCTGTGTCCTGCTCCCAAAAGGCTTTGGAAAGGACCTTCTGCAGCAGGATGAACCACTTTTTTTTGTAGCTTAGGGCTGAACCTGCTTTCTCCTCAGCTCCAAAAGGAGATTTCTTCTACGTGGGGAGCAAAAAGCTTCACGTTGGGGGGACGTGTCCCCAAGCTTGAGGGACGTGTCCCCAGAGCTACGGTCGCCGGGGAGGGGAACACACTGGAGCTGCTCAACCAAACCACTTAGATGATTCTCCTGCATTTGGGGGGGGGCTTTTATGGAAAAGTTGCACCTTGTTCTGCAGTTCCTATGGCCTTTTCTGTTCAGAGACTCCTCAACTGTATTGACAAGCATGCTTTTACTTTGGGATATGTGGTGCCAAACCCCTCTTTGCCATCAGTTCTCCTGTCGTGATGTTCCTTCCCAGTCAGTACATTCCTTTGCTGAACCATCATTGCATTGAGACTCTTTTGTTTTTGGGTTGTTGTTGTTGGTTTGTTTTTTTCCCCCCTCCCCCTGGTTTGTCATGTGTACAGTTTCAATCTGTTCTAGTTGTTGGCAGTATTAAAAAATGGTGAGGAAAATGTTGAGCCTTTTCTAGAGTTTATTCCTCGTTTCCACCCCCCCCCCCCAAACTCCCACTTTGGGCTTTGCTGAAGAAGGAGGGTGAGTGCTTGAGTGGGAATTGGGGGTGATTTATGGGAAGGGAAGGTTCTTCCTGCTTGATCCTGCCCAGTCCTGCTGCTCCCAAAGGCTCAGGAGGTGCTGGCACAGATGGGAAGCAGCAGCATCCAGCCCTTCCCTGGGGTTACCAGCAGATGGGTCATTTGTGACTTATTTATAGCCTGGGTCTCACTGATCCCTGTGGGACAGTCCCAGCTCTGGATCCCAGAGTCCCAGCATGGTGGGGTGTGGAAGTGACCTCTGGAGATCATCTAGTCCCACTCCCTGCCAGAGCAGGGACACCTACAGCAGATCCCACAGGAACACATCCAGAGGGGTTGGGATGTCTCCAGAGAAGGAGACTCCAGCACCTCCCTGGGCAGCCTGTCCCAGGGCTCTGTCACCATCACCCTCACAGCCAACAAGTTCCTCCTCATGTTCAGATGGAACTTCCCATGTTCCAGTTTGTGCCCAGTGCCCCTTGTCCTGTCACTGGGCACTGCTGGGAAGAGTCTGGCCCCATCCTGACACCCACCCTTGGAGTATTGGTAAGGATTGATGAGATCCCTCCTCAGTCTCGTCCACTCCAGCTGAACAGGTGCAGGGTGGCCAGGAGGACATGGGGCAATGGTTGGTCTTGGTGGAACATCCATGTGTGCACTGACTGGAGTGATTCAGAGAATCATGGGATGGTTTGGGTGGGAAGGGACCTTAAAGCCCATCCAGTCCTACCCCCCTGCATGGGCAGGGACACCTCCCACCAGCCCAGGCTGCTCCAAGCCCCATCCAACCTGCCCTTCAACACCCCCAGGGATGGGGCAGCTTCCCCCTCATCCCATCCCTCCCTGCCCTTGTCCCAAGTCCCTCCCCAGCTTTCCTGGAGCCCCTTCAGGCCCTGGAAGCTGCTCTAAGGTCTCCCTGGAGCCTTCTCTTCTTCAGACTGAACACCCCAACTCTCCCAGCTGCCAAGGATGGAAAAACATTCCTTGACCCAAACTCAAAGACAGGCCTGGGGCTGAGGGAAATGGTTGTTGGGGAGGAATGACAGTGGCAGAAAGGATCACCATCCATGTCATGCATATTCCTTTATTTTGTTTCTCCTACAGTTGAAGGAAGCC